GCCCCGCCCCTCAGGCCCCTGGGGGCGTAGGACTAAACCGGCAACTATTTTTGTTGACCTTTGTCCATGAAAGGTCCCTGCAAAATTTCATTGCAATTGGTTCAGGGGTTTTGGAGAAGAAGATTTTTGAAATTTTAGTCAATTTGACCCCTTTTGGCCCCGCCCCTCAGGCCCCTGGGGGCGTAGGACTAAACCAGCAACAATTTTTGTTGACCTTTGTCCATGGAAGGTCCCTGCAAAATTTCTTTGAAATTGGTTCAGGGGTTTTGGAGAAGAAGTCGAAAATGTAAATTGTTTACGGACGGACAACGGACGACGGACGACGGACGACGGACGACGACGGACAAAAGGCGATTGCAATAGGTCACTTGAGACTTTGTCTCAGGTGACCTAAAAATTCTCCCACCCTTCACAGGTGTGTCTCCAATTTTAGCCGGGAAAGATCAGCTTAATTGTCACCCCCTAGGGGGAGATAGCCTCGTGCCGTTTAGCATGTGTTCAATTGTGACGTCATTAAAATGTGACACCGGTAATTGTGACGTCATCAATAGTGAATGACGATATTCATACCCTACATGTGATTTTGTTTACAAGCATGGCAGACTACTGTCGGTGAAGTTGTGACTGAAATAATAGGATGGGAGAAAAATAATCATCCCACAACTTAACTCAATCACCCCTGAAGACATATTTAAACCCTTCCAATTCAAAGGGTGGAATAGTTCATTATAAAGGTTCAAGGGTGAATGAGTTAAGGGTGTAACAGAAAAATCTCCAACCCTCAGGGTGATATTTTTCGGTTGTCTAACCCGAGGCTAAGAGATTTCTCTGTCACACCCTCAAGGTAGCTAGGGAAGATTCTATTAGTCAATGCGGTTATTGTCCTTAGACCTACCGTCCTGATAAGAGTGTTAATGAGGTCAGCATGGTTGTTGACAGCAGCTATGTGTAAGGGTGTGTAACCGTCTTTTGTCTTCAAATTCACAATTCTTTTATTCTTTCCCAGAATTAACTGGACCGCACTGAAAAATGATAAAGTTTTGAAGCAGTTAAAAAGATTTAATAATTTATTTTTTCCCCAACCTCAAATTATTTGTGATAAAATTCATAGACCTGATAATAAAAATTGACCTCAAGAAAAAAGGAATGATAAAAATGCTATCCTATGAAGAAAGAAGTGTACATATAGTGTTATTAATCCCTGTATTTTCTCTGATCATGCAATTGACATCTTTATAGAGTTTTAGAAGCCATCATGGTTTTTGTTAATTAATTATTAATGGGCAATCAGTTTAGAATTATAATCAATGATTGTTTTCGAATCACAGAAAGTAAACCATAGTCAACTTATAACTTCATAGGACTGAATAACCAAACAAAGATATACAGCTGTAGCAGTCTATACTGTTACATGAAAAGACATGCAAAGTTGTTTATTATATATCAAGATTCCTTCTGTTTTAATGAATGGATTACAACCAACTCTTCTGCAGTTTAGATATATTTCTCAACATTACTTTCATGCATATAATAAAAGTAAACAATTTAAATACTTTTTTATCATTTCAGAATATTTATTGTTCAGATCTTAGATACAAAGTAATTGGGCAACAGGCAAAGCCTATGAGCGTCTTTTCTCCTTACAGTAATAAACAGTTTACACACATCATATTGAATAGAAGTAATGATAAAACATATATATTATATATATTGATAATTTCATGTCATTATTATTTTTTTGAAAATTGTTGTTACTAGATTATACTAAAAATAGGCAAATGATGCTAGTGGAGAGCACAATTAGTGAATACTTTAAATGCATATGGTACATTGTAAACAGTTGAGTTTAGTTATGAACATTTTTCATGTATATATCATAGAATGTATGATCAATATCCGGTACCAGTGAAAGGGCAAAACAATCAATTTCATTAATATATCCATCATTGGCCTATAACTGATATCTATAATTCTCGTACAGATGTACATACTTTAACGACCTATCCTAGTCATTACATCTAAAGGGAATATGAATTCCTACCTGACTTTTTAACTGAAGTTGGGCAAGGGCCAAAAGAACTTACGGATTATTGTCTTTGAGAACAGCCCATTGTAACACATTGAAGCCTTTCCCGTTCTCTCTCAGGTAGTCCCCATTTGTGGTCTTTAATACTGCCTGCAGGATATTGGGTTGTCCAAGTTTTTGTAAGATGCAGTCATGCATGACCGTATCGCCGTCACCATCCTGAAATACATCAGTAATAACTTTAAAATTCTGGTAGATATATACAATAGTCACTTAATTTCATTCAGTCAAACATTTGATTTAACCCTAGGTCTAAATATAAATTTGCAGTAACTATATTATTATGTATTCTCACTACACCATAAACTAAATTTTCCATTCCATTTTCCTCCCTCCTTTTTCTAAGTCATTGCCCCCAAAGATACAAAAATGTACAACCCAGGTTCGGGTATTCTCCTGCCAAGCGAACACCAAATGTTTGAAACAAGGGTTGGTAACAGACACCACTGTAACAGGAGAGGAAAAAAGCATGGCCAGCTGACCGGGGTTCGAACCCGGGACCCTCCGAACACTAGACAGACGCTCTACCAATTGAGCTACCTTGTTGACAGTGCCTTGCCTTACATTGTATTTGTACATTTTTACAAAAAGAAATCAATACAAAGGTACATTGACTGTACTACCTATAGGTCTTACCTTGACTGTATTACACATAGGTCTTACCTTGACTGTACTACATATAGGTCTTACCTTGACTGTACTATATATAGGTATTACCTTGACTGTACTACATATAGGTCTTACCTTGACTGTACTACCTATAGGTTTTACAGTGACTGTACTACCTATAGGTCTTACCTTGACTGTACTACATATAGGTCTTACTTTGACTGTACTACCTATAGGTCTTACAGTGACTGTACTACATATAGGTCTTACCTTGACTGTACTACATATAGGTATTACCTTGACTGTACTACATGTAGGTCTTACCTTGACTGTACTACCTATAGGTTTTACAGTGACTGTACTACATATAGGTCTTACCTTGACTGTACTACATATACAATGTAGGTCTTACCTTGACTGTACTACCTGGACTGTTCTACACATAGGTCTTACCTTGACTGTACTACTTATAGGTCTTACCTTGAATGTACTACCTATAGGTCTTACCTTGACTGTACTACACATAGGTCTTACCTTGACTGTACTACCTATAGGTCTTACATTGACTGTACTACATATAGGTCTTACCTTGACTGTACTACCTGGACTGTTCTACACATAGGTCTTACCTTGACTGTACTACCTATAGGTCTTTCCTTGACTGTACTACCTATAGGTCTTACCTTGACTGTACTACCTATAGGTCTTACCTTGACTGTACTACATATAGGTCTTACCTTGACCGTACTACATATAGGTCTTACCTTGACTGTACTACCTAAAGGTCTTACCTTGACTGTACTACACATAGGTCTTACCTTGAATGTACTACATATAGGTCTTACCTTGACTGTACTACCTATAGGTCTTACCTTGACTGTACTACCTTTAGGTCTTACCTTGACTGTACTACCTATAGGTCTTACCTTGACTGTACTACCTTGACTGTACTACCTATAGGTCTTACCTTGACTGTACTACACATAGGTCTTACCTTGACTGTTCTACCTTGACTGTACTACCTATAGGTCTTACCTTGACTGTACTACATATAGGTCTTAATTACCTTGACTGTACTACATATAGGTCTTACCTTGACTGTACTACCTATAGGTCTTACCTTGACTGTACTACATATAGGTCTTACCTTGACTGTACTACATATAGGTCTTACCTTGACTGTACTACATATAGGTCTTACCTTGACTGTACTACATATAGGTCTTACCTTGACTGTACTACATATAGGTCTTACCTTGACTGTACTACATATAGGTCTTACCTTGACTGTACTACATATAGGTCTTACCTTGACTGTACTACATATAGGTCTTACCTTGACTGTACTACATATAGGTCTTACCTTGACTGTACTACCTATAGGTCTTACCTTGACTGTACTACATATAGGTCTTACCTTGACTGTACTACATATAGGTCTTACCTTGACTGTACTACACATAGGTCTTACCTTGACATTGACATCAGCTCCTTTGTTGACTAGTAGTTGGGTACACTTGGGACTACCTTTCCCGACAGCCACATGTAGGGCGGTCTGTCCCTTTTTGTTGGTCACATTAATCTTTGCACCAGCTTTTAGCAACTCTTCCATAGTTGATTCTTCTTTACTGTGTAATTTTGATTACAGTAGAAAGGAAAATTGAAGAAAATACCATTATATTGTTAATGATTACTTTATTACAAAAGCAACATTATTTTCAAATCCACTGACATTCGCTAATCAAACCTTAGATGAACTTTAATTACAAAGATAATTATCAATATTGTTATAGTGGATTGAAGTATAGTGTTCACAGATGTACAAATTGTGGGAGTAGTTTTATCTTAGCACATTTTAACCTATAGATATTGAAAAATCATGATTGTGCCAATAGAAGTTTAAGTACGAATATATGCTTTTATAGGTGATCAGGAAGTGCAAATTGTGATCGGCATTCAAATTATCAAATGGTGAAATTCTCAACCTTGAATATGACAAGCTTTCTATGCCATTCCACTTGAGATTTTATGTAAATAAACTTGAATGATTTAAAAAAAACTATGAAACACACTATTACAACTTATATTAATCATTTTTGTTGGCCTTGATGTTAGCGTGCTGGGGTTTTAAATGTGGGAGGAAACTGGAGAACTCAGAGAAAACCCACGTGGTCAAGTACATGTAGGTAACCCAATTCCTTTTCATATCCAATTTGGAAACCTCAGCTGTCTTTGTGATACATAGGCCACTGCCCCACCCGACCACACTTTATACTTTTTACCGATCTCTTCATCGAATTATGTCAAAAGTGCTACAATGTATATAATACAGTATTTTCGGAGTGTATAAGCTGTAAATATCTTACCCAAAGGCGGCATAGTGCAGAGCAGTGTCGCCCTCCTTATCCACTTTGTCTTTGTTTGCCTTGTGTTGGAGTAGAAGCTGTACGACCTGCTTGTGACCTTCGTAGCTGGCTAGTTGTAGGGCGGTCTTATCCTCAACTGTCGTGTCCACCTAAAACATAATTTGGTCAAAAAATTACCTTCAACCTACACAAATCTATGGTAAATCAACTATTTGTTGAGAGTGTTAGAAGTAAAAATGTATAGGACCTCACATTTTACCTCAGGGTTATTCCTAAAAACCTAAGCTGACCTCATGTGTCTGTAGCGCCCCTTCCTAGCCCTTACCTACATTTTACGCATTGAATGTGTAATTCCATTTTTTTTCTGCAACAATTTTACATAGAGTGCACAGTTTTTAATTTCAAGCTGTGATATTTTACAAATGTGTAAACCATATTTAAACTGGACTTGCCAAATGGTTGATTTGGTCAGGTTCAGATGTGATTTTAGGGGTGAATGGATACAGTATGCTAATGGTCCCTAGATATACACATATCACACACAGGTTAAGGATCCAGTTTCTGGGAAGGATTCCTCTCTATGGCCTTCACCTCACCTGTGTGTAGCCTATATCCTAAATTATGCCTGTCACTATAAACCTCTCCTTAATTAGGCCTACACCTCAACTGTTGAGGTCTCTTCTAAGCCCTGAATCTATGTGTGGTTTCTTTTGCTGAACTAGGGCTGCAGTGGCTGAGACGTTAATTATAAGGCGCCTGACCATCTATGATCACTGACCCCTCCACCACTGGGTTGTGGGTTCTAGCCTACTTGAATCCTTCTCCAGGTACTAGGCACAGGTAGCAGGTGGTTTTTCTCTGGGAACTCCGGTTTTCATCCTCCACCAAAACCTGGACATAATTGTAGTTGGATCGGACTACATGTAGAGTAATACCATTAATCAGGTAGCTCACTTGGTTAGAGTGACTCCAGCATAAATTACTCTAGTCTGGCCTTGTACATTTTCACTCTTAGAAAACTGTTGTTTATTGAGTTTTTATCATTATTTCTTTCTCTATTTTTTTTCAGATTAGTATAAGTTTGTAAGGTATTGGTTTCTTTTCAGAAATGATTTATTAAAACAGTTTTCATATAACGAAAAAATTACTCATTCATACAGTCATGTAGTTAGAGTTTTTGCTAAGTGGGAGATGGATCTTTAAGATGTATGCCTGATAGGTTCAAGAGGGATACCTTACCTTATGGTCTACATCCCCCTATAAGTGTTCCTGCTATAAAGCATAGTATTCATCTCAGGTGGTCTATCCCTACAGCATTTACCTTATTCATCCCTCACTATGGACAACACTTTGACTGCAAGTATTCCCCAAGGAAGGTTTATGAAATATCTGTGATTGGTCCTTTCCTATGACGCACAGCTTACCTGTGATTAGTCCTTCCCTATGGCGCACAGTACAGCTTACCTGTGATTGGTCCTTCTCTATGGCGTATTCCTTACCTGTGATTGGTCCTTCTCTATGGCGTATTCCTTACCTGTGATTGGTCCTTCTCTATGGTGCACAACTTACCTGTAATATTGGGTCGTTCCCTTTGATGTACACCTTACCTGTGATTGGTCCTTCTCTGTGGCGTATTCCTTACCTGTGATTGGTCCTTCTCTATGGCGTATTCCTTACCTGTGATTGGTCCTTCTCTATGGTGCACAACTTTCCTGTAATATTGGGTCGTTCCCTATGACGTACACGTTACCTGTGATTGGTCCTTCTCTATAGCACACAACTTCCCTATAATGGGTCATTCCCTATGACGTACACCTTACCTATGATTGCTCGTTCCCTATGGCGTACACGTTATCTTTAATTGGTCCTTCCCTATCGTGTCCACCTTACCTGTGATTGGTCCGTCCATATGGTGTACACCTTACCTGTGATTGGTTCTTCCTATGACGTACACCTTACCTGTGATTGGTCCCTCCCTATGAAGTACACCTTACCTGTGATTGGTCCCTTCCTATGACGTACACCTTACCTGTGATTGGTCCCTCCCTATGATGTACACCTTACCTGTGATTAGTCCCTCCCTATGACGTACACCTTTCCTGTGATTGGTCCCTTCCTATGACGTACACCTTACCTGTGATTGGTCCCTCCCTATGATGTACACCTTACCTGGGATTAGTCCCTCCCTATGACGTACACCTTTCCTGTGACTGGTCCCTTCCTATGACGTACACCTTACCTGTGATTGGACCCTCCCTATGAAGTACACCTTACCTGTGATTGGGCCCTCCCTATGAAGTACACCTTACCTGTGACTGGTCCCTCCCTATGACGTACACCTTACCTGTGACTGGTCCCTCCCTATGACGTACACCTTACCTGTGATTGGTCCCTCCCTATAGTGTACACCTTATCTGTGATTGGTCCCTCCCTATGACGTACACCTTACCTGTGATTGGTCCCTCCCTATAATGTATACCTTACCTGTGATTGGTCCCTCCCTATGACGTACACCTTACCTGTGATTGGTCCCTCCTTATGATGAACACCTTACCTGTGATTAGTCAGTCCCAATGGTGTACACTTTACCTGTGATTGGTCCCTCCCTATGACGTACACCTTACCTGTGATTGGTCCCTCCCTATGATGAACACCTTACCTTTGATTAGTCAGTCCCAATGGTGTACACTTTACCTGTGATTGGTCCCTCCCTATGACGTACAACTTACCTGTGAGGGATCCTTTTTCAACACTGCCTGGACATCAGACAATGCACCTTGGGCTGCAGCCTGCACAATGTTGATTGAGAAGGTTGTGTCTGTTTTGGTTCCTGACTGGGCTCTTAACATCTCCACAAATACCTTAGCAATAGCTTCTGAAACATCTAAATAGAAACCCAATCCTCAGTTTTTCTACATCACAAAAGGTATTTTTTTGTAATAGTGTTTGATTATTGCCTTAACATTATTTTTTTGTCTCAAATATTGCCAACATTTGCAAAGAAATGTAATAAAACGTTGTAGACTAACTATTTAACAACATTGAGTACATTAAATTAAAATAGCATGATGGAATTAATTAAGTAAACAAAGATAAAATTTGAGGTTCAGGAAAACCTAACGTGAAATAGAGGATTTATTGCAGTTACTTTTGAAGGAAAAAATTACTAAAAAGGTTAAAAATAAGCTGTACCTTTAATAGGTGATGTTTAAAAAGTACTCTAACACAAAAATTTAACTAAAGATGAAATTTTCTTTAGTTCAAACTAAGCAAACAGGGTTTATGCCTGAATACTTTAATTCACAAATGAGACAAACTAAAAGTAATTTCTTTACAGACGAAATTAAATTTCCTGAAACATTTAAATCTGCATACAAGTTTTCTTGTGAACTGTCAGACACAAAATCCATCTCAAACAAATATAAAGTATTTAAGTTATCATGAGCTTTGTGGTTTAATCAATTTTATTAAACAGAACAGGACTGGTTCAATCACTGCATGGCAATCAGGTAGCTCAATTAGTAGAGTGTCCGTCTAGAATTTGGAAATGATGTGGTTCAAATCCCGGTCTAGCCATGCATGTTTCTGCTCCTAATACAAAAATTGGTGCCGTGACCAGGATTAGTACATGTAAATCAATTAATATCTCTTATTGTCACTCACTTACCATTCATGCTATCCCCCAGCTCAAATTCGTCATCACTGTCGCTATCATAGTCATCATCCTCATTTGCCGGGACCTCATCAGCGATGGAAACATCTTCCACTAGATTGACACACACAGGACTGAACAACCAGTTTTTTCCTTTGATTTTAATTCTCATGTCCCCATCATTGTCTATTTTCACAATGCGCCCGGTTTGGCCAAGGGTCTGAAAGGATAATGATTTATCTCAATACAACTGATCAGATGCCATATAGCATACAATAACAAGAGCTCAAACTTACTGAAGTGTATTGCATATGGTGGATGCATAATGCATAACTGACTAGATATGATGTGGCTTAAACCATTCATCCCTAAAATCACATGTGAACCTTACCAAATCAAAGACTTGGCAAATCCAATTAAAATGTGTAGGGGTGAATGCATTTATTAGGCTTAAAATATCCAGGCCTGGCATCAGTTTGTCTCATAAAGTCCTCATTAGTAAACAAATTAGATTAATATCAATATTAAAGTTATGGTGCTTTGTGGTTTAATTCTATTTAATTAAACAGAACTGGACTGAGTCAATCACTGGCGATCAGGTAGCTCAATTTGGAGAGCCTCCATCTATAGTTTGTAAAGTGCTGGGTTCAAACCCTTGTCTAGCCATGCATATTACAAAACATGGTGCCTTATAATCCTAACAAACAAGATTAACCTATTCACCCCTGAAATTTCTTAATGAACTATTCCAACCTTTGAATTGGAGGAGTTCAAATGTGTCTTCAGGGGTGAATGAGTTAATAACATAATCAACTAGCTTAAAGGGGCTGGTCGGGGAAAAAATGTCATATTTGCTAAAATGGAATACACCTGTTTAAAATACCTTCTTATGAAATATACCGATTCAAATTTTGCCGATATTCACTCCCTAAGAGTAAAAAATTATAATAATATTAAAGAAATCCTAAATCATCACCTGACAGTCTAAAACTCTCAATTGACCCAGATCAGTGATGTAATTTTACCGCAAGCGCGTCATCAACAAAGCCAAATGTAAACATCGCAGCGAAAGAAAAAGATGCATGCAAAAGTCATGATAGGCACGAGGTATCAATACCGTTATATATAACAACAAGATATAGGTAGGAATACTACACTTGCATCATACATGACCTTTGAAAACAATTATTTACGTATAGTATTGCTGTCTTGTCCGCTAGTTGAGTCCGACATGGCATATGACGGCGTGCTATTGTTGTTATCTTCACTGCCTCACTTTCGAAACAACCACATGTCATATATAAATAGATCTGCGCTAAATTTATGCAGGGCTTCTCCCGAGATTTCAGTGGTCAAAACTGGACATTGCAAGCAGAACTCGACTATATGATATTGCCGTGGTATAACATTTGGAAGGCCAGTAAACACATTTAGACCCATTTATTTTGTATTTTTCTAACCCGAACAGCCCCTTTCATTTCATATCCAGTCCTTAAAACAGCCCAGAACTCATAGTACAGACTCCTCCGATATATAAGCCACTTTTACCTCACTCATTTCATCGTTCCAGCCACCGTGGCCGTCCTGTAGGCCCATTACAGTGTTATGGTTGCTCAGGATCACAACAGCTTCGTCCTTGGCAAATGCATGTTTCTGGTCAAGATAAATTAAACATATTCTCAAAATCTGGTATACAAATTTTACTGATCTTTAATTGAATTATTTGGATACGGTAATCATTAACTCATTCACCCCTAAAGACACATTTGAACTCTTCCAATTCAAAGGTTGGAATAGTTCATTATGAAATTTCAGGGGTGAATGAGTAATTAATAGTATCTAGAGAATAAACCCCTGTCAGGGTGAACACCACTAGACAAATCCTTGGGAGGGAATTTCTATAATCAACTTTTTAAGGTGCTCCTATTCCTACAACGATGACAGCATTCCTATATTCAGCTTCCTTTAATTTGTTAGGAAAAGCATAAGGTAAAAAATTACCTACATTATTTTAGATGTGTTTTTCCTAACCTTATATTTACCATCGTATGGCATTGCCACTATATAACTACCAAATTCAGTTGGCATTCACATAGGCTCATATATAGGCTATGAATGCCATGGACCGATTGTTGAACTCATCATTATTATGACGTCATAATTGTTACCTTGGATACTACTGACCCTCCCCGGGCGATGGCTGTTCTATTCGTTGAACAAGCATACATTACACGATACATATATTATTTTAACTAAATGCTGAAAAAAGTATTGAACTGCTTTCAGTTGGTATTCATAGGCAAAATGAATTCCAACTGGACAAAGGCAAATCCAACATGAAGCACTAGTGCACTTCATTGAATTTGCTTTTGTCCAGTTTGCATTCATATTACCTATGAATGCCAACTGAAAGCAGTTGAATGCTTAGGTGGAGGCACCTACAGACCCTAATGTAGGGTATTTCCATGACTTTAATACCTTGTATAGGCTTTCTATCCTTGACTTGAGAGGACACTCCTTGATCTAAGCATGTAAGGCTCATCTATATATATCCTAGTAAGTGATCATAATACTAACCCTACTGTTTAGAGATTATCAACCTTGTCCCCAACACAGTGAATATCATTTTGAGGGCACACCTTTAACTGCCCTTGTAGGCAAACTCCTTTATGTAACTACTTTTCAGGACTCCCCTTTAAATACCCTTGGAAGGGCAATCCTTTCAATTCCCTTGTGAGCATAATCTTTCTAATACCCTTTGAACATGTCCTTTTTGTGAGGGAATCGTTTGATTCTCTAGTAAGGGCACACCCTTCACTAGATACATTTGTCAGCTCCCTTATATTAATCAACCAACCTTGTGAGAGAACTCTTATTTTCCCTTTTGGCTAGTCTGCTGGTGCAGTAGTTAGTACACTCATCTGTTACTAAGTCAGCCAGGGTTTGATTCCCTGATCAGACATATAAATGTCTGAAGTCACCTACCCAACCATAAGGGTTTTCTCTGAGTACTCTAGATCTTGTTTCCTCCCACAGTAAGACCCCCTGTACGCTACCATCTGGACTTATAAGAGTGATTCATATAACATCCTCATACTTGTACTCCTCTTTGTAAGGCATACCTTTAACTATCCCCAGTAATACGCACAACATCCTCATACTTACTCTTTGTAAGGCATACCTTTAACTAACCCCAGTAATACAATATCCTCATACTAACTCTTTATAAGGCATACCTTTAACTATCCCCAGTAATACGACATCCTCATACTTACTCCTCTTTATAAGACATACCTTTAACTATCCCCAGTAATACGCACAACATCCTCATACTTACTCTTTGTAAGGCATACCTTTAACTATCCCCAGTAATACGCACAACATCCTCATACTTACTCTTTGTAAGGCATACCTTTAACTATCCCCAGTAATACAAAATCCTCATACTTACTCTTTGTAAGGCATACCTTTAACTATCCCCAGTAATACAACATCCTCATACTTACTCTTTGTAAGGCATACCTTTAACTATCCCCAGTAATACAACATCCTCATACTTACTCTTTGTAAGGCATACCTTTAACTATCCCCAGTAATACAACATCCTCATACTTACTCTTTGTAAGGCATACCTTTAACTATCCCCAGTAATACAACATCCTCATACTTACTCTTTGTAAGGCATACCTTTAACTATCCCCAGTAATACAACATCCTCATACTTACTCTTTGTAAGGCATACCTTTAACTATCCCCAGTAATACAACATCCTCATACTTACTCTTTGTAAGGCATACCTTTAACTATCCCCAGTAATACAACATCCTCATACTTACTCTTTGTAAGGCATACCTTTAACTATCCCCAGTAATACAACATCCTCATACTTACTCTTTGTAAGGCATACCTTTAACTATCCCCAGTAATACAACATCCTCATACTTACTCTTTGTAAGGCATACCTTTAACTATCCCCAGTAATACAACATCCTCATACTTACTCTTTGTAAGGCATACCTTTAACTATCCCCAGTAATACAACATCCTCATACTTACTCTTTGTAAGGCATACCTTTAACTATCCCCAGTAATACAACATCCTCATACTTACTCTTTGTAAGGCATACCTTTAACTATCCCCAGTAATACAACATCCTCATACTTACTCTTTGTAAGGCATACCTTTAACTATCCCCAGTAATACAACATCCTCATACTTACTCTTTGTAAGGCATACCTTTAACTATCCCCAGTAATACAACATCCTCATACTTACTCTTTGTAAGGCATACCTTTAACTATCCCCAGTAATACAACATCCTCATACTTACTCTTTGTAAGGCATACCTTTAACTATCCCCAGTAATACAACATCCTCATACTTACTCTTTGTAAGGCATACCTTTAACTATCCCCAGTAATACAACATCCTCATACTTACTCTTTGTAAGGCATACCTTTAACTATCCCCAGTAATACAACATCCTCATACTTACTCTTTATAAGGCATACCTTTAACTATCCCCAGTAATACAACATCCTCGTACTTACTCTTTGTAAGGCATACCTTTAACTATCCCCAGTTATACAACATCCTTATACTTACTCTTTGTAAGGCATACCTTTAACTATCCCCAGTAATACAATATCCTCATACTAAGATGGTTGAGTTTTAATGATAGATGGGGGCGGGGGACCCAAAATTGACTTTGGTTTTCACACTGGATATACCCTGTATCTACATTTAAGATGGTACCACCTGAACCTATATTTGCACATCTGATACTACATTCTAATATCTTTGTTGTATCCTTATGAAGGCACCTAGCATATTTACTGTGAAGGAAGTCCATTACACATAGATGTGTAATTAGGACACTCAATATTCTTCATAGTTATTCTTGAGATGTACGTTTACCTTTTTATGTGGTCATGAGGGCTCTCTAATACCTACCCGTGTGAGGGCACTCCTATGTAGATGCCACACCTTCCCATCCTCATACTGGACTTTGACAGTTTTGCCCTCAAACAGCATTTCCACGATAGTACCCAACTCTTTTGTGCACTGCAGATTTAAGGTTAAACATTTCAGATTCATTAATAATGCCTCAGATTATATGATTAATGGCCTAAACCAATTGAATCCAGAAAATGTCTGGAAGACATAAAGGCCATGGATTCTCAAATGCAAATTAGTTTCATATTATTTGACAAATATCTATAAATAACAAAGAAAGGTGACCTTGACTTTGAAACTTTGACAAATTTGATAAAAATTTGTTCAGAAAAAAGTTGGTACAGTACAGTGATGTCAATGAATTGGTTGACAAATTTTTAAGAAGTAACATTGACCTTGGTGTTGACCTTTTGATTTCTCATACTCAATCTTTGTATAAACTTTGATGAAAATCTGTTAAGAAAGTAAGGGGTTAAATGGTAGGGGCTTAAAATGAAATGCCCATTAATTTTGTAAATCACCGACAATTCTTAAAAAAACTATTTTCCCAATTATTTATATATGTTGGTTCATTTTTAATGACCCCATTTTGATGGAGGTTTGAATTTATCATTAATACCTCTAATTAGTTGTCAAGAAGTATAAAAAAACAATTTATGGCCATTATTAAAATATTGACTACAATTATTTATCTACAATATAAAATGACCAAGAAAAATCAATGGCCATTGTTATTGTTATTGTTATTCCCAATGGTCAGGAAATAAGCGTTTGTCAGTATTTGTAACAGCAATTAATTCTAAAAAAAAATAAACTGAAATTTACGGTTTCTGCAAATTTATTCTACTATAGTAATTACAGCAAGAAATAGCAATCACCTGAACCATCTGGTCATCCCAGCCTCCATACATTTGGTGTTCCTGAAGTTGTTTCAGTGCCCCAACGCCCAGTGCCACTCTTACTTTGTCCGAGGGTCTCAAGGCGACCACTCCTGGGTTGACGACGTCTGACGAAAAGACGGTTAAACACATGTTTTTTTCCCCCAAATACAGACATGATACATACTGTTGTTCATTTTCTCATAATTTTATTTTACTTTTGCTACAAAAGTGACTCCTAGGTAGGATATGCTCTATTCTTTCACGAATGCAAGGCTGAAAAATTACTACAGCAATATTGGAAATATGATTCCTACTGCAGCTCCCCTATAAAACACTACCTAACTCACCGCCCCAGAAATTTCTTAATGAACTTTTCCAACCATTGAATTGGACGAGTTCAAATGTGTCTTCAGGGGTGAATGAGTCAACTCACTCATGAACGGCAGGTGATCCAAAATTATAGCATCTTCAAATCCAAGGGTTCCATTCTATATACACATCTAATCTATACCCTTGGAATGATAGGTGACAAAATCAAAGGCACATGTTTAGCTACATCACTGTCATGTAATTGATTGGTTTCAAAGTCTATGCTCGTAAAAAAATGCTAGGCAGATACCTGTCTTTTAAAGTTTCCGAGGAGTGACATCTGTCTTCAATGCTAGTTGATTTTCGTGTTGGCCGGGATGGAAGCAAATAGGGGTCTTAATGAGGAAAGAAACCAGAGTATAACAAGAGAAAATTCACACTGGGTAGGGCAAGCGACCAAATGTATTTTAACATCAAGTTTGGCAAACGCACATAGCCATGGTGGTGAAGGTGAGTGTGCTATCCAGTATCCACTATCGCACAATCACAATGTAGTGCTAAACTTACCCACAAGGGGCAGGAAGGCCATAACATAGACCCCCTAGAATGCACTAATGTGTACCTATCCATGAGGGGCATGTAGTTCATGCATTATGATTTCCCATAACGCACTTCCATAATTATCCTTCTGGAGTAGGCGATTTATTTAACAGATTACCCATAATGCATTACTGTACTCACCCACGACTGGCAGGTGGTCGGGATAGTAGGGTCCACCGGATCCCAGTGACCTCATAGACTTGTAGAGAATGTCCACACAACCATCGCCCCCCAGACGATATGTGCCTATAAAGTCAGTTCTTTTCCAGAAGACCTTGACTGCTCCTCTATATCCTTTAGGTTTGCTGGACTCCCAGGTCACTACTTCCTTGACCTCACCCTCATCTCCATCAGACCCTGTCAAGGTATATTTAGATTATTTCACTGTTACTGAAGCAAAACATTCTGTAAAGGCCACGAAACCTACCAGTATGTGTAATAAGAAATTCATTTCAAACAGAAGTCAGTTTCTATACAGTCTGATGTAATATACTGAAGGGTACACAGCATAGAACAAACCCAGGACATAAACCAAACCAATAGAGCCCAAAACAACCAATAATTTAATAAATTATACGTTCCAGGAATAAGCTTACAATCATTATACTTTTCAATCAGGGAAACCCTTAACATGTACATATAATTTTACAGACTAAACTCAATCAAGAATTCTGTAGTCGATTAGTCAGTTTCATGGCCTATAGCCAACCGATACTCAACATAGTTGTTTAAAAGTCAGAATTCAACTACAAAAATTTTCTATTCATACCATCCTGATTTTTCCATTTCCAGTGAGGCCCTCGGACAACCTTGGCCCCAGGGAACACACCCATGGAGTCTACAGTCTTAGTCTTAGACCGGGGCGGGACGGCCACCCTGTAAACATATATAAACAAGCCTGAAGTTATTTTCACATGGATATAGACAAAAGTTATCTGTATGTTATTCATCATTATGTGACACGTTTATATATTCATTTTATATTTCCTCATCCATGCGTTATATTTCATTATAATATACAAGTATAAATAAAAACAGATTGTAAAATTGATCATGACCAACAATTGTATACCTTTTTTCCACATGGATCAGGATTGTTCAAATTGAAGACAAGAAGTAATATTTCACACTTACGCAGGAGAATTTACCACATCAATTCTCACAAATCCGTGTGTTAGGTCATGCTCCTGACCCATATAGCAACGGGTACAGAGGTCAAAGTCGTGACAGACGGCACACTTCCACCGCAAACCCTTGACTTTTGATTCAGAAGAACACCCTTCGCCATCACAGATAATGTCTTCATGAATCACACCTGCATCAAATACATCATGATTAATTTAATAGCTACCGTATTCATTGTAATAAGCACCCAGCAGGGCACTTCAAAAAAAATGTTTAAATAGGGGAACTTATTAGGATAATAAAAATTGAGTTATGATAAGAGAATAATGTTGAAATTAAATCATTGTTATCCTGAATTCTAAGATAATATTAGAATTTCAGTGTGGATGGAGGCTATAAGAAATGGAAATAAAATGTTTCATTCCATGGAAAATCCAGCCATTATCATGACTGCTTTAAAATATAAGTACATTGAACTACACTGTATAAATCATTGATCAGGCCTTGTCAGGTCTTGGAGGGGCTCTGTATAATTTCAATTTCTCCCAAAAAAAGGGATATACTGTCCTGACACACTCCTCCCTCCTCGTCTTCCATATCCAGTGGTCACGCCCACTTCAGCGTTCTACATCCCTGGAATATGTCATAGCAACATTGAAGGCTCTGTATGCGCCACCTCGTTGATGAGACAAGAAGACTAACTTGATCCTTTGATATACATCAAAAGAATCTTGCAGTCAGTAATGGTAAAAATTGACAGGCTTTGAAGTAGATTGTCTCTCCTTTGTAATCTTCAAAGGACAAGTATCAGCCTAGCGATTGGTCTTTTTTTTTTTACCTGAAACCAATCAAACAGCTATCTTTGTGTCATATATTTCAGGGGTGCAGAGAGCAAAAAGCTCTTACAAGGCTATGATTCCAAGGTTCTCAGAAGGGTTTTGTGTGGTACTGACCACCAGGGTCTACAAAGAGTTTGTTAGGCTCTGGTATGAGGCTCTCAGAAGAGTTCTGAGATAAGGTGCTGACCAAATGGCTCTAAGAAAAGTTTTTAAGGTTCTGATCCCCTATATCACGTGCACCCTCCAGGCTCTTCAAAGTGTGTAGTGAAATGATGACCCCGTAGGTTCTAGAAAGGGTTTAATCAAGTGCTGAAATCTGCAGCTTTTGAAGTAGAATTTTATTAAGTGTTGACCTGAGGCTCTCAGGAGGGTTTGTGCAGTGCTGAATCACAGACTCCTAAATGGGTTTGATTTGGTGTTAAGACTTTATGCTCTCAAAAGTGTTTTGTTACATGTTGACTTCAGATACACAGAAGGCTATGGCCTTTGAAGGATCATGTTGGGTACTGTCGGACCACAATGAATACCAATTGATACCTGCTGGTCCCGAGTCGAAGATCCTTAGGTCGTACTTTCCATCTTGGCCAGCACGGTACCTCACTTCCCGCCCTGAGTCCCAAATCACTGTCACCTTCCTGTCGGTGGTGTTGTGTTTAGGGACGTACACAATTGTTCCTGTGTGTCCGACACCACCATCCTGCTTTTTGTTAACCTCATATCGCCAGTCAGGGCCTCTCACAACCCGCACTCCTGGCCGTAGCTGTGAAAAAGATTCAAATTAGCACAATGTAAAAATTGATCTCATCACTACTATGCACAATCCCCCTAGCAAGTACATACCTACTATAACTGTCTTATTACATGTGTAGCAAGGGACAGAAAATGTACGACTAGACTGAGATTCCAACTGTGAACCTCCAAACTTTGGACAGACACACTAATTTGATTAATTGAGCAATTAACCCAGTCCTTTTCTGCTACATCCTAGCTCCCTTCATTTTCTAAAACTTCAATCATAAAAGACAACACCACACAGTATACATGTTCGTACATGTATTTGCTTCCCAAATTTGGGTCATCCTCGATATCCAGGGGTTAGAGAGTGTAGGTGAGCGTTACCCCTGGATATTGAGGATGAATTTTGGTATCCTCTTGCCAAGCTTACACACAGTACTTAAAAACAAAGGTTGGTCACATGCAAGGCATTACTGTGTCATGACCATGAGAGGAAAATGCACGGCAAGATTAGGGTTTGAACTCGTGACCTCCGAATCATAGACAGACACTCTAATTAATTGAGCTTCCAGCTGGGTGCTGGTGATCAACATAGTCCAGTTCTGCTTCACATGTATCATCAAAATTTCAGAAAAGTTACTGTACAGCTTACCACCAAAGTTAATAGCATAGAGAAGAGATTATGAGGTAAAACTTTGCAACCGCATGCAAGTCTGAAATTTAAGATGAGTAACAGTGCTTAACATGCTTGGTGGTTGTGTGTGGTGTTTCTTGTCTAGTAGGAACAGAAAAATACCTGGCCAGACCAGGGTTCAAACCAAGGACCCTCCGAACTTTAGATGGACACTCTACCAATTGATCTACACTGTACCAGCTGGTAGCCAATGATCGAGCCAGATCAGCTACATTCTTCCCTCCCTTTCTAAGTCTTCTCCCCAATGACATCACTTTAATTTACAACCAAGGCTTGAGTAACTATCTCCTTCCCAAGCGTACACGAAATGCTTGTAACAAGGGACAGCAAGCTCGTTAATTTTGTATTTTGGGAGAAGAGGAGATGCACAGCCAGACCGGCACCGAATTTTTAACCTAATGGACCATCCGACCATTAGATGGATGCTCTACCAATTGAGATACCTAGCTGGTTGCTGACAAATGACCAAGTCAAGTTTCGTTATACAGTTGAAATCTTATAAAAATTAAGGCAATTAAATCATGTCTATTCCCAGATTAATTGTTTCTTAATTTGAATCGTTTATCAGTTATCTGCTACATTCATGTTTTTTTTTTTACCTCAGATGTGGAAATAATGAGTGAGAGACCTTACAGCTACATGTATCTGTATCTGTATAAATACATGGACTCCTTCTGATAGAAAATAGCTGTCCACGGGATGTGCGCTCAGTCAAGGCACAAAGTTCTTTTGAAAGTGGTCAACTTATCAGCCGAAACAAGATCCGGGTCTAAACAGTTCCAATCCTTGACTGTCCTTGGAAAAAAACTATTTTTAAAAAGGTCCGAATTTGCAGGTATGATTTGGTAAGTTTTGGTATGCTTTTGGCGAGTTCTTTGTGAATTTGGAGTTAAATAATCGTCCTGAGGTAATTGCCACCAAGCCTGAAATAATTTTGTAAAACAACACTAGCCGATGTTCCCTGCGTCTTTCTGCTAGTGGTTTGAGTCCTAAATTTGCTAACATTTTAGTTACACTTGATTTCCGTCCATAGTTGTTATATATAAATCTGGCTGCACGTCGTTGAACCGATTCAATGGTATCTGTCTCTTTCTGGTTCGCTGGATCCCAGACTGTGTCACTGTATTTTAAAACCGAACGAATTAGTGCGATGTAAGCTGTTTTCTTTAGGGATTCAGGGCTGTGTTTAAGGTTGCGGCGAAGAAATCCGAGGGTGGAATTATAGCTTTTCTGGCAGTTTTGTTGATATGGGCGCTGAATTTCAAATCTTCACTAAAAGTAAGGCCTAAATAGGGACTGTCCGAAACTTGCTGTAGAATTTGGTTGTTTAACAAGTAAAAGTGTTCATGTTGTTGTTTTGACCGACTCACTCTCATTACATGACATTTTTTAACATTAAAACGCATTCCCCATGTTGATGCCCACAGCTGCAATGCATCCAGATCACGTTGTAGTTTGATTTGGTCCTGCTGGTTCCGGATCCGTCTGTAAAGCAGACAATCGTCTGCAAACAGACGGATTGTTGAATGCACGACTGATGTTATGTCGTTGATAAAACAGAGGAACATCATCGGCCCGAGGACCGTTCCTTGTGGAACACCGGATATGACTTTGGCCTCAGATGACTATTCCCCTTCCACTACTACTCGTTGTTTCCTACCTTCTAGAAATGAATGGAGCCAGTTGTGTAGTTTTCCAGTGATTCCGAAATGTTCTAATTTGTGAAGTAATTTCCTATGAGGTACAGTGTCAAAAGCCTTACTAAAGTCTAAAATAATGATGTCTGTCTGAATTTTGTCGTCAAAGTTTCCCAATATATCGTGCGATGTACTAATTAATTGTGTTTCACAGCTGTGTCCCGAACGAAAACCATGCTGCAGTGGGGTAAGTATATGATGGTCATCTAGATGGTTTCTGATGTGACGCACGATTATATGCCTAAGCAATTTGCAGCACACACAAGTAAGGGACACCGGTCTATAATTTCCTGCTTCATGTTTATTTCCCTTTTTGAAAATCGGTGAGATGTAAGCACTTCTCCACTCTGATGGCACTGATCCTGACTCTAAACTTGATCTGAAGATATGTGCTATGGCCGGCGCTAACTGTGTAGAACAATGCTTCAGTATTCTATTAGGTATGCCGTCTGGTCCACTAGCCTTACTTACTATCAAGTTCGACAACAGCTTTTCCACACCTTCCGTTGTGATGGTTAGATCTTTAATGTCAGCATATTTGGCACCCAAATCTGGGAGAATCTCCTCTTTATCTTCCTTTGTGAATACTGACGTAAACTGATCGTTCAAGATGTTGGCTTTCTCACTACTTCCTTGATGTAATATTCCGTCTCTAAGTAGGGGTGCTACTCCAATGTTATCATTTTTTTTCGATTTCACATATTTCCAGAATGTTCTCCTATTTCCAGTAGTTAAAGATGTTTCTAGCACAGTGTTTACATAGACCCAATGTGATTTCCTAATGGTTTTCTGAGTTTCCCTTTTTTCTCTTTTATATTTGTTCCAAAGTTCTTTACTGCCCGATTGTTTGGCCTTTATATAATAACGATGTTTCTTTTTTATGAGTTTCTTGATATTGTGAGTTATCCATGGGTGACTTTGGTACTTAGATGATAGTTTGGATGGAATAAAACTCTCCATAGCCTCAGTGATGCCTTTCCTCAAAATGGTCCATAATGTGTCAATATCGGTGGTGGTACTATTGACGACTGAATCCGACACTCGCGATAGATGTTCCTCTAAGGAGTTCCAGTCAGCCTTTTTGTAGGAGAATATTTTCTGCCTCTTGTAGTGTAGTGTGGTTTGATGTCGGCGTCCACTACAACACTATGATGGTCTGATATATTTGGTATAACCTGACAGTTCTTAACTAGCGTGGTGTTGTTGGTTATGTACAGGTCCAATATGTTACCTTCCCTGGTGGGTGTGTCTTGTATTTGGGACAGACTGAACTCATCCAGTAGGTTAAGTACTTCCTGGTGGACTTGGGGTTGTGATGTTCCAGGTGTCACCGCTGAGTTTTCCCAGTCCATGTTCGGGAGGTTTAAGTCTCCGGCCAGAATAAAAGTATGGTTGTCTATGTCCAGACCAAGACTTTGGATGGATGAACAGAGTTCCTCTATGGTAATGTAGTTTGTTGAACAAGTGTGCAACAAATATATTTGGGTCTGGGTGCATACTCCTCTAGTATTGTTTTTGAAGTATGTGTCTCTTTTTTATAAAAACGATCATTATTTTTTTCATTGTTTTTTCACTGAACCAGAGACGTCTGTTTTTTACCAGTATGATATGCTCTACTGAACACACTCTAGAGAAATATTCCCTAACTATTTTTAGTCAGTATGAATTAATTTAAGTGGCAAGTATAATATTTTACCTTAATTTGGTTAAATATTAACAAATGTCCCGCTCAACGAATGACTTGTCTCAAGTGTTTCCTTGTTTACAGGGAAGCTTATCGGAGAAAGGCCGAGGATTTGTGTCGATCAATATTTACCGGGTCCTAAAATTTCTTAAATGCTAGCTGTTATTTATTCATGCAAATTATATTATTCTATATGAGACTTACTTCAGATTTGCAAGCAGCATATATGTTTATATTTGGACAATTTAGAGGCATACATTTAGATTAACACAGAACACAACTTTGTCAGATCCAGTGAAGCAATGTAAATAATATCAGACTCCTACACGATGTCCAAAATACTTACCAGATTCTGTGTCATGGTATACGTCAACAAATCCCGATCACAGTGTTACCACCCACGAGCTAGATATCAAGACCAGGAAGATGATTGGAGTTCTAGGAATTATAAATATAAAATAAGTATAGATCACTGAGACACGTGACACCTTACCTGCCCTATGGAGTCGGTCATGACACAACTAGAACTCCATTGATAGCCAACGCAAACCGAAAGTTGGCGGATCAGCTCCGCTTAGTATAGCTATAAATAGATTCGGGGCTACTTGCATTGGGTGATCATGATCATGAGTGCGCGCGCTAACGGTACGCGGCGGAAACAACGTGAATCATGAATACGTACATTGTAAATTACAATACAGTTTATTGATAATCAGTCAAATGTTATGTTCCACGAGATAAATACAGCCTTGGTTGGGGTTGGATTCCCGGGACAATCTTATAGCTTATTATAGTGTAACCAGAGGCGTACATGTATACTACACTCTGGCTTTATGTATGTCTCGAGCTCTGGTGTAACTTAGTATGTTCGTACATTGATTTCGATCGTCATTCATGATAATGTATACATAGTAAATTTTTCTTCAGTATGCAGTTATGTTTCGTTGTACTTTGCCCTATCACCCCTAGGCCTGCTGGTCTTGGAATAAGAAAAGAATTTGCTATTCCCACAACTGTACCGGCACTGCATGCTGTACTTGGGGACACGAAAGTGACCAAAATAAATCTGCTGCAACCGTTGGGCCCACCCCATTTGGTTTCTTGTTCATCTCACTTTTGGCTATTAGAACGTAGGTCCTGACGACGAGACAGAGGTGGCCGTGTATTAATATTACTTTATATAGCGTTCGCCCAAGCGAGGCAGAAACATATAAAGCCATATAATATTATAACATTATTTTTTATTGAAAATGGGAAGATATTCCCCCTGTTTCTTTTAATTTGGAGAAATAAAGAATGTTTCAACAGGGAAATCAGTTTGTACTCGGCTGTTAATCTACATGTATAGGCAAAAATTATCACTGCGTTAAACCACAGGGGTTCGTTACAATTGCCTCTATACTTTCCTCAACCCTCTCCACTGGTACATTTTGTATATGTGTTTATGTGCCTGTCTGGACATTCTCTTATTTTAAAACCAAGTCCCCTCTTTAACGTCACATCCAAAAATCTCCCCTGGGAATTGCTCAGCAGCCATCCTCCTCCTCCTCGTCCTCCTCCTCCTCATCATCTAACTTGATTTTATAGATCTAAAACACCTTATAAATAACAAATTCTGTAAAGTCAAAGTGGCAAACAAGAACTTAATGCGTAAACAGCAACTTACACTACAAATCCTCAAAGCCGGTATCACCAGCAGGTTCGGGGACCGTTCCCACGGTACATATCGTAAAGGCGACTTGTGACCCCCACCCTGCAGAACTGGAGTCTTTCTTCTGTGTCTTCTGTTAATTAGGTGACATTGAAAAAAAAACACTCCCTGAAAACCGGCTTGTAACTTAGTGGAATGCCTCACTTTTGGTGCTATGGTTTGGATTTATTTGATTTTGTTTAACGTCCTATCAACCTTTTGATGGCGCGGATCTGATGCTGACTTTAAAGTGCTATCTCACTGATATACCATGCCGAATGCAGTCAGCATAGCATTCCTCCCAGTTACATTATACTGACAACGGGTAAACCAATTGTTGCTTTTACCTTAATTGCTGAATGTTAAGCAAGGCATGCCATTTTAATCACTTTGGTAGGTCCAAGCCTAGGAACAGAACCCATTGCCTTCTTTACCTGGGCGAACGTTGAACATTAAAGGCAAAAGTGAGGTGTTTCCAAGCGAGGCGCTAGGAAATTAAAGGCAGTTATAAGTAGAGAGAAATATAAAGATCCTAGATATTGCAATGGGTGCAGCAGATTTATTTTGGTCGCTTTTGTGTCCCAAGTACAGGACACACAAGCAAATCCCCAAAATCTGCAGGGGTTTCCACATTAGTCGCCTCTTACGATATCTTTTTCTCGATCCCCGACCTGCAGGGATGCCGCGCTATAGCACAGAGGATTTACATCAACATTCAATGCCTCCATTACACATACACAAAAGTACACATACATAACATATATGGAGGCACGTCCTTAAAAGACATTAGCTTGGTGATACCTCTCTTTCAATTTTAATGTTAAACGTTCGCCAAGGTGAGGAAGACCATGGGTTCTGTCCCTATGCCGGGACATACCAAAGTCCTTTAAAATAATAGTGATTATTGCTTGCTCAACGTTCTGCAATTTGCGAAAAAGGTAACAACAAGTTAACCAGTCGTCAGTATAATGTGGCCGGGCGGAATGCTATGCTGGGTTCCTTCTGCGTGGTGTTTCGGTGAGGTAGCACTATAAAGTCGGCATCATATCCGCGCTATCACATGCAGACAATTACACCAACATACCCTTCCTCCAGCACACATGAACGCATACTTTTCCAAATGGAGGCACGTCCTTAGTTTAAACTTTATTTTATTGATGTTAAACTACAATAGTACATGGTTATAAATACAGAAAAGGATCCAGAAACAAGTACATATTACTTATGTAAATCTGTCTATGTAAGGGCACGTCCTTAACTGTTAATACCAAACCTATCGTGGTATAGCTCGAGTGTAGGTCAACTATACATTACACAACATTTGAGTCCATGTCACTAAACAGACAGACCTCCCCGGCCGGCCCGGGTCCATATTGTATATCGCAGTGGAGGATCCAGAGGTTTTTTTTGGGCTTCAGGACCCCCCCTATTTTTAAATAGGTTGTTGATGCCATACTTGATATATTCCCTTTAACAATATTTCTTAACGCCTTTTAATAGATACGTTTAGAAGTTCAAAAACAAAAACAAATAAACCAGATATTTTAGGGTTAATGAGAGTAAAATATGGAATATCAGATGTTTTAACAACACAAAACTAACTAACTAACAAAAGTAATAGGACGTTAAACAAAATAAAACCAAACCAGACCACTGTACTGACAGTACGAAACAAACATGGAGGAAGGGAAACAACTCTTGTATCCTTACATTTGTTATCAAATATTTCTCAGACTGTTAAAATATTGTGTTAACGTGTATATTTTGAGAAGGAATCGAAAATAATTTTCAGCATTTTAAACATATGCATTTAATTTCTTAAAGGTCCATATGTTTATTTCAAAAAGCTTCTTCAGTGGGAAATACTAATACTCGGTCCTTAAAAAGGTAGTTGATGAAATTAATTAATAACACGAAGGTAGTTGTTAAAGTGGCCTTAAACCGGGACCATGCATATATATCGCATCAATGGGCAACGTGCAGCATTTACCTGCAATGAAAGAAATGTGCTTAGACAAACTGTAAATATCTACACAAAAAAAAATAGATGTCGGGTGGCGCAGTGGGTGGTGCACTCGCATTTCATCAAGAAGACCGTGAAAAGATTCCCCGATTTAGCGTAAACAGATGTAGTTTGCCTGACCATGTCGGTTATCTCCGGGTACTCCGGTTTCCTCCCATATTAAGACTGCGCGCTTCCATTAGGACCAACAAGAGTAATGAATATAAGTTGATGAACGAGTCTTCAATTGCTGTAAAATAAATTAAGTCTATAATTGTATTATACCCTAGGAACGCAGTTACGATTTATCGATAAACGACAACGCCGAAAAAAAATCATAACGAAATAGTTATACAAATTGATTAAAAGAAAACAGATTAAAAAAAATAGAAAAAAAAATACCTGAAAGTATGGAAGTCGCAATTCTAACGAAGATATCACGTAGCGAAGAACAGAACAGTTTGATAACGAACCTGTGTCTTTCAAAACGGACACCACTGCAGGTCGTATCATGAAGAATATACCTGCTGATACCAACTGCATGTATCGTGAGGGGCGTCTAATGTGGGAAGAACCCTCTGCAGAATCGGGGATTTGCTTTTGGGTCCTCTTATCAGGGACACAAAAGCGACCAAAATAAATCTGCTGTCCCCATTGGATTTGTTTTTCTTTTCTATTTCTCTCTACTCCTAATTGTCATGTATATTTCATAGCGTATTGCAAGGCAATACCTCACTTTTGGCATCAATGTTGAACGTTCGCCCAGGTGGGGAAATTAGAGGGTTCTGTCCCAGGCCGGGACATGTACCAAAGTCCTTAAAAATGGTAGTTGTTATTTCCTGCTTAACGTTCATTAGTTCGGGAAATGATAACAACTAGTTCACCCGTTATCAGTATAATGTGACCGGGCGGAATGCTGTGCTGGGTTCCTTCGGCATGGTGTTTCAGTGAGATAGCGCTATAAAGTCGGCATCAGATCCGCGCTATCACAAGAATGCAAATACACCAACATGCCCGCACTCCGGCAAACACATGCACGCATACACAGCACACATGTAGGCACGTTCCTAAATTACCTTAGCTGTCGAGTGTTTTAGGTCACATGAGCTTTGCAATGGGTTCTGTCCCCAGGCTAGGACATATTCAAGTACCTTAAGTGGTAGTTGTTATACCCTGATTAACGTGAAGCATTTAGGGTAATAATATTAATGATATACAGCATTCGATAAAGCGTCCTATCTAATAAGAACAAATCATTCTAAAACGCTTTTCTCCAGTTGTGCAATACTCTGCTCATATTTGTTCACAATTGCTGCACATTTTCGTGCTTTTGCTGATTATGTTCTATCTAGGAATTTTCTCTACATGTACACTTACCCCACGTAGGTCTTGCAAGGGTAGCATATAATTTATAACAGGAAATTAATGTTTGGATTGACAGATTTTCCGACATATATTGCATTTGTCATTTTTGTAGAAGTGTCAAACAATATAGAAATTTTTTGTAAAGGTTAACTTTTTTCGCGGCGTGAAAATGGTGACATTTTTTCTACGGCGAGTAAATAAGATTTCAGAACCATTTATAACGCAAACATTTTCATATCGCGATCAAATAAGGGATATGAAAAAACAAATCGACACGGGAGAGCGAGATGGTGTTCTTTGGACGGTCAATTCTTGAGAATTTGCGTGGAACGCACGACTAATTTGAAATAAACTGCATTCATAAGAACATTTTTTGAGCATTAACGCTCTGAAATTGGAA